GTCTCCCGAATGCTCTGCAACCGACGATGGAACGACTCCCTCACTGACTGCACAGCAAAGCTGAGCTCCGCCCTGACCCACGTGGCATCTGCCAGGGTGGGGACCAGGGCTGGTAGGATGCTCTGCTGCCCACCTCCTGATGCACTGGCTGCCTCTCCCCCCACTGTTCCCAGGTGCTTACTCAGGGACTCAACCTGGCTCCAGAATTCACCATCCACCAGCACCTTCTTAGCCCAGGTGTCTGCTGGGGCCCCCATACAGACTGCACTCCCAGACTCCAGGGGCAACTCCCCTGACTGAGAAACCTCGTCGAGAAGGTGGGAGATGTCTGACGTTGTGTTTTTTAAAGAGTCTGCTATGTGGTTTATCAGAGAAGCTTCCAGAGCTATTTGATCAGCAAGGAGCTTCAACTGCTCCTGCTCGGTCAGCTCCGGCTGCGGAGACGGCTGCTGCGGAGTCTCCTTCCCTCTCTCCAGGAAACTCTCTTCCTCCAGCCGAGTTTGGGCCCCGCTGTCTGCGGGGGCTGGCCAGTGACGCAGAGCCTGGATGGCACTTACTAGCACGCTCTCCACGCTGGCCAGGGGGCCTGCTCCTGCCCCCAGTGCTTCCTCCTGGCCAGACCTTGGCAGAGACTGTAGCTGTTCTCGGCAATTTTCTAAGCAAGCGAGGGCCTGTGTGTTTTTTACCTGGAAATTGCCAAGCTCCCCTACGTGATTTTCAATGATCTTCGCCCTGGCCTGTTTCTCCTGCTCCAGCTGGGAGGCCAGCGCGCCCACCTGGAGCAGGCTGGCACGGAGCTGCTCGCGGAGCCTCGCCTCGGTGCCAGCCCACTGGTGGTGCAGCGTGAGCAGGGCCTCCTGGCTCTGGCCCTGCTGGCTCTCCAGCTTCACCGTCACATCTTTGAGCTTCTCTTCTGTGATGTAGAGCTTGGTCTCCAGGGAGTGTATTATGGAGAGGTAGGTGTCAGAGTCACTGGTTGCAGGGACGGAGCTGAGGGTGGCCTCTGACATGCTCTCCTCGGAGGGTGACTGGTCCTGACTGGTGTCGGAAGATGTGCTGCTGGTCCAGGTCTTCTCGGATCCATCAGGGTGGGTGTATTTCTGGCACTGGATCGTGGAGAACCGGATTCTTTGCCTTTTAATGCTGGGTACGCACTGCTCAGGTTTTGCTGTGTTCCGTGAGTGCTCCTCCTTCTCAGGTACTTCTGACTTCGGAGGCATTATGCTCCCTTCTCTCTTGGGGCTGCTGTGCCCATGTTTCTTCTTAAGGGCAGCCCCCGGGTCCTCATCCTCGAGCCTCACGGGTGGGCAGCCTGGGGATATGCCTGAGGCTTGGAGCTGCAGGTCCGAGAGCGCAAAGCCATCCTCTGCTTCTCCCAGGGAGCTCTGCGGCTCCTCCACTTCCTCTGAAGACGCCTTGGTAAATTTCCTTAAAATCTCTTCCTTTGTCTGGAGCTTCATTTCTGTTTCCTCTAAGCTGCTCCCCAAGGCAACCATTTTAACCAAGGCCTCATTGAGGTCCTGATCTTTCTTTTCCAGAACTTTCTCATGCATGTCCTTGATATGCCTCAGCTCCTCCTCCCTCTGTCTCAGCAGGGCATGCATGCCCTGGAGCTGGCCGGCCACCCTCTGGTAGGCATGCTCCAGGCTCTGGTAGTCGGCCTCCCTGCCCTGCAGCTTCTGCTGAATCTCAGCAACATCCCCATCAGACAGGGCGACGCGCTCCGTCAGCTCCTGGAACCGCTGCCGGACCAGGTCCCGCTCGTCCCTGAGACTCTGGACGTGCTGGGCCAGCGTCTGGAGGCTGGCCTCCTTCGCCTGCAGCTGCTCCTCCAGCTGGCGCACCGCCTGGCTGCCCTCAGACCTGGCGCTGAGCTTCTCCCTCTGGAGGGCCTCCACCTGCTGCTCGTGGTCCTGGAGCTGGTCCTCGTAGGCACTGGCCTTGTCCTCCACCTCCTTCAGGTTCTGCAGCAATGCCTGCTTTTCCTTCTCACAGCTCTCCAGCAGCAGCTCGTAGTTCCTCTGCAGCTTCTCCTCCATCAGCCGCTGGGCCTGCTCACTAGCACTGAGCTGCTGGCTGAGGTCTGCGATGCGCTCCTGCAGCCTCTGCACCTCCTTTTGCCGGTCTCTCTGCAGTGCCTGCTGTGTCTCCAGGTCGCGCAGCTCCTGCGTCTTCTCCAGCAGCAGGGCCTCTGCGCTCCTGAGCTTCTGCTCGCTGGCCTGGAGCTGACCGTTCAGCACGGCCTTGCTGTGCTGCCACTCCTCCAAGTGTTCACGGGCCTTGTCCTTCTCCAGTTTCAGGTCCCCCTTGAGCTGGGCCAGTGCCTGTTCCTTGAAGGTGAGCTCGGCGGCAGCAGTGCTGAGCCTCGCCCGAAGGTTGCGGATCTCGGCCTCATGGAGCCGGACTGTATCCTCGGCCTCCCCGTAGCTGCACTTCAGGGCCTGGGTCTGCTGCGTGGTCAGCCCCTGGCGCTGGCACTGGACCTCCAGCTCCCTTTGCAGATCTTGATGGACTCTGTGGAGCCTCTGCCAGGCACCAGATGGGGAGGTGGCCACTTCAGTCTTAAAAAAACCGATTAAACACTGGTTAGTAACACTCGGGCTTCCTAGTTCTGAGTGTCACACCTCTGGCCAGGGTCAGTCACAGAAAAGCTCCTTGGTGGGTTTGCCTTTTATCCTTTGCACAATTTTTTTCATTAAAAAAAAAATCCAACAAATCATCTTAATTATTTTGATAAGTGCTGCTGCCAGGTAAACAGAAAACATAGATAACAACATCAAAACAACTCTAACTAAATGGCTTCTAGAAGTAAATCAAACACAACTGAATAATGGCACACATGGGTAAGCAAAACAGGACTGAAGACGAGACGGGTGGGAGGAGGGGGAGCAGAGCATGGCATCCGTTTGTTTTACAAAATGAAAGGTATACACTCTAGACAATAAATCTTGGAAAAGCAGGATGAGGCTGCGGGTGAGGCCCCTTCCTTCTAGGACAGGAGAGAAGGAAGGAGGCAGCAGGAGACACGGAGCACTTTCCTTTCGGAGTGGAGCTCGTCCTCATGACAGGAGGAACGAGTCTCCACCTGTAAGAAGACAGAACGAGGGAAAGCGAAACCCACGGACTAAAATATGATAACCAACCAAACACACCTCATGGAATTCAAAATAAATTTTGTTTTTGACGCATGCACAAAACAAAACACAACACAAATGGAACAAAACTCCCCAAACAGAAAGGCATGCAGGACAGACAGAACTAATAATCAGGGGAAACATGAACATGAACAGAAGTGAGAACAGCCCAGCCGGAGTCCCTGACCTGCCTGTGGCCCCTTCCGTCCGTGGGGAAGCCACAGATGTGACACTCAGTTCCGTTATCGGTTACACTCCACAGCAAGTCCAAACCATGCAAGCTCCTCCTCCCAGAACGCGTAGCGGAGCACAGCGCCCATCCCAGGCAAACTCCTTCCGACCTCAATCCCCAAGGCCTCGTTCTTTCTCAAAGCACAAAGGGAGGTTAAGGCAGCCGCTATTAGACTTTGTGGGAAGGTATTCAGAAGCCAGCTCTGCCCAGTGCCGACTGACGGGCTTGGGTGGGCTCAGGCAGTCATCCAAGTGAGAGCCAAAGGCAGGTTCTTAGGTTAGCAATGTGCACAATGTGCTGCTAATATCTTCACCGCCTGATGAAGTAAAGGGAATCTGTGTAGGATAAGGGCCCAACCCAGGTTTAAAAAGATGTTCCCCAAGCCTGGAGGGTCTGCATGAATGATCAGAATGCCCTGAGTGAGCTGTGCACAAAAGAACGCTCACCATCACCAGCTCCTGGTGCTGAGTCTGAACTGGGCATAACAATAACTACAGAGGAAAGGGCTGGGAAGGAGGGTGCCCAGGCCACAGCTGAAGCTGAGGGAAAAGGGAGAGGGGAGAGAGGAGAGGGAACATGCAGCCCAGCAGCATGGACAGAGGCAGGAAGGCAGGAAGGCCCACGGCCTGGGGCGGGCCAGGCATGTGATCTGGAAATGTTGGCTCGGTCACTGAGAGCTGGAAGGGCTTCAGGGACAAGGTCTACGCCCACACAGGAGAGGCCAGTGCGGTGGGGGAGGGGACACTGGCATCTGCTGGCCAGTGTCAGGGCTGAGCTTGCAGCCAGGTCCTTGGCCTTGGCAGAGAGCCATTCCATCGCCCATTTTGCGTTTCCCAAGATTCATTTGTCAGTCATCTCTCCCCACCAGCACATCACTTCAGGGACAGGGAGGGTGCTGTTTGTGTCCCAGACCAAAATAGGGCCTCTCGACAGGGCACACACCAGCTCCCTGTCCACTGCTGTCTGTGATTCTGCCTGCTGACCAGGACTGTGGCCCAGAGACCTCTGGTCCAGACAATGAGTGTGGGCTCTCAGCTTAGAACCCAAGCTTGGGGCCTCCTCTCCCCTTGGCGGTTGGCTGTGTGGGTTGGCTCAGGGCTGGGGGCCATGTTTCCCCCGGAACTTCAGTCTCAGTAGGAAGAAAGGAAGGGGCCACTGGGCGGGTGGTAAGAGCCCAGGTCTGCCTGTAGGCATGGCACAGACACAGGTCGGGGGTCCAGAGCTAGCCCTGCCACTGACTTGGTCCTAAGGAGGCACTTGGTGGCTGTGTCACTCAATTTCTTCAATCTGTAAAACAGTCCAAACACTGTTTTTGTAAAAACTATTAGAAATGACATGCAAATATATAGTACTTATAACAAATATGCTGGATAACTTTGAGAGCCCAGAGGAAAACCCACCAAAATTATTTTATTAAAAAACAAAGAAAAAAAAAACCTTAGACATAGACGTTTCAGGTAGATTCTCCAAAATGTAATACCAGGAGGGCACACATGGCCCTGTGCCCGGAGCCACGGGCCTGTGGCAGAGCAGCCGGGGCGGCACTGCGGGCGGCGGGCGCATTCCTAGCCTGCCAGGCCCTCGCACTCACGTTCCCAAGAGCATCTTGAGCGCCGGCAGCCCCTCAGCCCTACCTGCAGCACATAGCCCTCCCGGGCACTCTGCTCCCGGCCCAGAGCCACCCTCAGCTGGTCCTGCAGGTGCCGGTTCTGCTCCAAAAGGTCTGAGGCCTCCTTCTGGCTCTGCTCCAACTGTTGACAAGAAGACATGCGTTTTAAAGCAAAAGGATGGTAACAATCAGCAACACAGTAGAGGCGCTGGGGCATCTCTGACACCAGCTAACCTGGCGCACAGACTCCTCCCTGGCCCTTCACGTGCCCACAGGTCAGGGATAAGCTGCTCTGCCCTGAACTGCAGCAGCTGGAACTGAAGGCTCCTGCTCACTCCGTAACTGCACACACATAACACGGCAGACCGGCCCTGACTGCCCCCAGAACACTCCCCTGCTCCAGGGCCCCTCGCAGACCCAGCAGGAAATGTGCTCGGTGCCGCGCCGGGAGGCAGATACGCCTGTCCTTTCCGTTTTCTCAGCACGGCCACAGTTCCCCAGGTCTGACTTCTGGGTATTGTGCTGCAGACGCAGGGCTGGCACTCATCCTGGTCTGGGTCCCCAGAGGGACTGGCTCTGCAGTCTCCACAGCGCAGTCCTTGCCGAGTGAGTGCCCGGCTCACCGGGGCACCACTGCCTCCCACGGTGGCCTGCTCCTCCTCAGGTCCCTGGTGGTCACCAGGCTGCTGGGCAGCAGTGGGACTCTTCTCTGCCTCCAGCTTTGGCCTGCTCCCCACAGGGTCAGATCAAACCTAACTCTGCTTGTGTTCCTCTCCCCCAAAGAGCTCTAGTTCATGCTGGAAACAGGGCCCTGAAACCCTACAGCCTCTTCTCTGGCCACCCTGACTCCAATGGCAGTGCCCCTGCCACATGGCAAACTACTCTGTCCTAGAAAGGACTGGTCCCCGCACCGCCCGCGCCACCCTGCATGAGCTGGCACTCCCTGTACCTCTCAGCGACTACACTGGACTCTAGGAACCTGTCCAGCCACCGATCTATCTTCCTCAACGGTTGGCAAGCCCTGGAGGGGAGACCACATCTCCCTCGGTCATGCAGCTGAACCACTCAGGCTGCTGCCGGGCACAGGGGATGGGTGCTCGGGAAGGGGCGCGGCATGGAACCCGCCCACCTGCGGCCGCCTGATCATTACCTCCTTCTCCAGCAGAGAGGTCAGTTCATGAGTGGAGAGCCGGTCACTTCTGTCCTCAGAGGACAGGTGCAGAGGGGCAATGGGCACCTGCTTTTCTTCCCGGAGAGGGGTGGTCTCCACCTGATGCCACCGCTGCTCGATCTCCACATGGACATTCTGTGTCTTGAGGTCGGGGGTCACAGGCAGCCCCGGGCTCCGATCCACCTCCATCCGCAAGGACGTGTCATCAGCGGCTGGCCCGTCCACCGTGTCAAACATCCCGAAGCGCTTACGGCGCTCTTCCCGCCTGCGTGCCCGCTCCCGCTCCAGCTCCCCCGGCCCGGCCTCGGGGAGGCTGCGGGGCAGCTCTGCCCGCTCCTGAGCCAGGGCCTGCTGCAGGGGGCGGAACTCAGCCCAGTCGAAGGTCTTGGAGCGCCCCTCCCGCCTGCGCTCGCGCGCTCGGCTCCTCTTCTGCTCAGGGTCTGGCTCCCTGGGCTCCACCTCCAGCTTCTCACTTGGCCTTGGGCAGGTCTCGAAGGAGGAGCTGATGCGGTTTCTCTCCTCCGGCAAGGAGCTGGGCAGGGGGCAAACAGCCGTCAGGGGTGGCTCCCAGCAGAGCCCGCTCCCCGCTCCCCACACGCTCTTCCCGCCTCTGCTGCAGAAAGCACACAGTCAGCATTTCCTGGAAACCCAAACTGAGTTCTGAGTGGAGACGGGAGAGCAGCAGCCACAGCAGCCCAGAGATTTCCAGCAGGAGGGTACTTTGAGGGCCCCCAACTGAGGAGATGCGGGGGGAGCATCTGGGATGACGAAGCACAGAGCACTGCCCTGCTGAGAGCCCAGGCTTCGAGCCCCGTCCCGCTGCACCAAGCACAGCCACTGTCCAAACCCTTCCGTGGCACGCATGCACTGGGCAGTGGGGACAGAGGAAGGAGACCAGTCGTGTCCCTTAAAGGGACCAAGAGTTTTCAATAAGCAGGAAAGCAACATGGTCAGGTCTATGCTTCAGGAAACTCCTGTGGCTGATATGACAGATGAGCCAGAGTGACAGGCCCGAAAGGACCTGGGGGCAAACCAGATAGATGTCCCAGGTGGCACCAACTCCCCACCCAGGCAGTGGCCCACTCAAGGGCACTTCTGCATGCCCAGCAGTGAGCCCAGGCCTTTTCCCAGTTTGCCCCAAAACAAAGATTCCTGAAGAGAAATGAACCTCCTGGGGTAGGGTGAGGCATCAGTCATGGCAGGTTGAGGCTGGATCTCCAGGCTTTTTGGATAAGCCCCTGAGATTTGCAGCCTGGACAGGGCCAGGGAGCAAAAAGGACATGGGAAGCCACCTGGGCCTGCGAAGGACAGCGGGGTTCTAGAGAGCACCTGAGCTTAAATGGGGCCAAAGACAAGGACCCAGTGAAAGAGGCCCCAGGAAAAGAGAATGGAGTCACCACCATGCCTGGCCACCTGTCCCGGCAGCTAACTGGGAAACCAAAGTTCTTCCAAGCGGCCTGCCAGCTTCCCGTTCGGCACCAAAGCGCCTCGGAGCGGGTGTTCTCCAGCACAGCCCTTCTGATGCCCTGACCGAGAGGAGCAGGCGTCAGGGCCCCAGGGTGACGGGTGACGTAGAGAACCAGAAGCAGCAGCCACGCCAGGACCGCCAACCTCCCAACAGAGGAAGCCCGTCCTGGGGCCCCTCAAGCCCCCAGGCAGGAAGCCCCACAACTCCTCCAGACACAGCACCTGACGTTGGTATCTGTTTCTAATACTTCCTTGGGACTTTGCCTGGTAGCACTAAAAGCCCTTATTTTCCTCAAACTATAAAAGCACACCAAATAAGCACAGAGGCTGAAAACTAAGTACTCCACTCATCGGAAAGTAAACACTAGCCAGAACGCCAGCCACGCCAGCCTTACTCCAGAAACGAAATCTTGGTCCCTGGGTACCCAGACCCGCAGGACGCCGAGCCGGCGTGGGAGAAACACGCAGTTCAGGGCCAGTGCCAGCCTGGGAGATACACTTTTTAAATCCTCACCTGAGGATACGTCTTTTAGAGAGAGAGGAGGGGCGAGGAACATTGATGTGAGAGAGAAACGTCCATCTGTTGCCTCCGTACACACCCTGACGGGGACTGAATAGCAACCTAGGCATGTGCCCGAACCGGGAACCAAACCTGCACCCTTTTGGTGCATGGGACAACGTTCCAACCAATTGAGCCACCGGGCCCTGCCTGCGATCGCACAGCCGACAGCCCCAGCCAGACCTCAGGTGGAAGCATAGAGCCAGGCCCTAGGTGAGCACCAGGGCTGGCTGGGGCAGGGTGAGCAGGTGAGTGCCCATGGCTGCGAGAGGCCCTGACCTGGGGCACTGGCCCTTGGAGGCCACGCGGCAGCCTCGTAGAGGAGTCCAGGCGCCTCTCTGGCTTCGGGGCACCCTCGAGGGGTCAGTGTTGGCCTCTGCCCCTCGGCGGGAGAGAGTGGAGGCGGCTGCTGAGCTGCCATGTGCGCAGCCATGAGGGTGGAGTGCCTCCTGCAGGTCTGCACACAGGTGTGCTCGTTCACAGGACACGGTCAGCCTGTCCCACTCAACGTCTCCTGGCCTTATCCACTCAGGAACAATAGATTATCCTGTTTGTTTAATAAATAAGTGAACAAATAATGCCAACAAATAGGGGAAAGAACTAAAAAAAAGAGTTACTTTGGATTCCTTTCCTTCTGGTTCAAAGAGGTCCAGTGTCATTAAAAAAAGACTTGGCATGGCCACCAGGGGGCACAATGCAGGCACCAGGGTCACCAGAATGGGACCTCCGATGCAAGAAATAGCCTTCAGGAGTCATTCAAACCCGTGCCTGAGAAGTGACAGGGTCTCAGAGCAGGCGGAGGCTCTGAAGCCCCAAGGCGAGGGCAGCAGAGTCTGGGGCATCACAGGACCAGCTCCACATATCAGAACCATGTCCTCTTTCTTTTAAAATGAAAACCAGCAAGTTTCTGACCTTCGGGATTGGAGGAGGAAGGCACACGGAGAATCAGGAGACATATGAACCAGAGTGCTATGGGGAGAAGAGTTTCCAACCAAGGCTCTGGCACCGAGATTTTCAGAGAATTTTTCCTGGTTGCACCCCCACACACACACGTGTGCACATGTAAGGAGGGAGGGAGGAAGGAAGGGAGGGGGAAAATAAATGCTGTGGTGGCCTATGAATGCAGCCTCCAGGGCTGCCCTTACCCAACGGGGCACAGAGCCAGTGCCAGCCCACACCAGAGGGAGCTTAGCCCAAGTTCAGTTCTGACAACGGCACAAATGACACTTATGTAGCTCTAATGCAAGAAATACTTACAGAGGGCAAAGGAGACCTGACAGAAAAGCCAAGGCCAGCCAGCGGTGGGCAGAGGCGGCTCAGGGCCCAGGGAAGCGCCAGCCCCGGGGAAGCGGCTCCCTCAGACTTTACCTCGTCACGTCCGGGGCAGAGGTCGGATGGACGTGCTTCATGATGGTCTGGATCCAGTTCCGCCGGATTCCCGACGTCATAGCCGAGAGGGTGAACTCGCCCTCCTTCGTCTACAAAGGACAGGGCAGGTCAGTGACCACGTCCGCCTGCCCCCCTCAGGTCAGTCCTGCAGGGCGGCTGTGGCCAGGCGGCCACCTCAGGAGCATATGCACAGCTAGGGGATGAATGAGGCCCAAGAGCAGAGGAACAGCGAGGCTGTGGGAACCAACGTGCTTCCCTGGGAATGGCTGTCGGGACCTCCCTCTGCGGACTCAGCGGGCTTCCCTGAGCACCTATGAGGCCTGGCTCTGAGGGGACTCACTGCTCTTCAAGAAGCTCACAGGCTGGAGGGAGAGCGTGAGCACGTGGGGAGCACGGGCGAGGCCCAGAGCACAGGGGCTGAGCGGGGCCACGAGGGTGAGGAGGATGGCAAGCGGATGGGGAGGAGGTACTGCGGGAAGAGCCCAGGCCCGGTGCCCTGCAGCCAGGCTCATCCCGGCACAGGCAGGCAAGGGGGGACAGCAGGCGCGAGGCAGGCAGGAGGCCAGGTCCTGGTGGAGCCGGGTCTCAGGTTGAGAAGAGGCAGGAAGGCCTGCTGGGCGGTTCGGGCAGGTGTCCAGGTGATTAGAATTCAGGTGGTGACAGAGAAGAGGGGAGGGAGCACTTCTGGGACAACCCCTCAGCCTCCGATGAGCTGATGAGTCATCAGTCAAGACAGGGAGCACGCCTGTAGTGGGGAGCAGTTCAGGCAGCAGGGGACGGAAGCTAGATGGAGGGGCAGAGATGCAGCACGGCCAGCGAGGGGGGAGTGCCTTTGGGGCAGGTCCCTCCAGAGAAGGCACAGATGGGAAGCCGGGTGGTGACGGCATGGAGCCCACTGCCTGCTTCTGCTCCCACAGCTGTCTCACAGGAGGGAGGTTGTAGTCCCGCTCTTTGAGCTGCACAGGCTACTCGGAAACAAACCCACAAGAGGTTAGCAAATCAGCTGATGGGAAGATGAAACCACCAAGACGGTTTGGGTTGGTATTGGCGTGGCCAGGGACCAAAGCACGAGACCACAAGACAGCCTGGAGAGCTGCAAAGCTGAGCTTGGACTTGACCTCCAGCTCAGCCACAAGTCAGGGACAACCCACGACTTCTGGTTCCTTGGGTTTCCCTTCCTGTACTCTGAGGGTGGGGCATGGCCTTCATGCAACCTGAGTGCTGCCTCCCTAGGCCCTGGTCCCGGCCCTCTGTGTCCCGGGGATCGGCTCACACTTGTCCTGGGGTCCTCTGTCGCCTCCCGCTCCCAGATCTGGCGTCTCTGCAATCTGAGCTTGGCCATCTCCACATTCTTTCCCAGGACCTCATCTCCCACCCCCAGCAGGCTCTTTCCCAACATGGGCCACACCTGGCTGCCTGTCTAATGTCCTCAGAGAGCCATCACAGCTAGAATTCCAGAGACTCTGCTCCTTTTGTGAAGTCACCTCTGCTGCCCACTTCTGCACAAGGCCTGCCTGCTCTGGGCACCTGACCTCGTGCCTGCCTCCTCCCTCCATGACCACCCCACAGCCCATGTGTGCCTCCTCCACAGTGCCTCCCACCCACTTCTCTCTTTTCTGCCCGCCACTATGCCAGCTGGGTCTCTCGCCTCTACCTTCCCCTCCTCTAACCACTTGTATGTCCTGCGGCTGTGTCTTCCTACATGAGGTAATGGTTCCAGCACCTTCCACAACATCAGAACAAGGCTGACTTCTGACCTGCACCGGGCTCCCACAGTGCCCCCTGCTCAGCTTCTGCACTTAGCTCCCTGTAGGTGCCTCTAGGTCTGGTGGCCACACCAGGGGCCGTGCACACTCACTCCTCCCCTTCCTCTCAGGAACCTGGGACTCCTTATGGACTCGAGCGGAGAGCCTCCAGGACCTGCCTCCATGCTGAAAGCGATCTCTCCTGACCTAGCCCCTCAGCCACGGGCTCATGAAAAAGTAGCAGAAGCTGGGGTAAGCTCCCATCGAGGGCAAGTGACAGGTGGCAGACTGTCAAATGAGAGCAACCCGCATGGCGCAGGCCCTCAATAACTAAGTTGTAACTGGTTCAGTGAGGGGATCTGACTCTTAAGTGGCAAGCCACCTCTTACCTCAGGACACCTGCCCTGAGAAAGCTGCTCTGTGAGATGGGGAGGGACAGGCTAGGAGGGGGACCCAGCATGGCGCCTAGAAAGCCGGAAGTCACCACTTCCACCAATGCCGCCTGAGGCAAGAGGCTCAGACTCAGCTCGCTGAGCACATCTGCTCCTCCTGCAGGGCCAGGGACAGAAGAGATTAGAGGGGGGTGGCTAACACCCTGAGATCCACGACCTCATGCCGGCCCGCATGCCAGGACACCTGTGCAATTCCCACCTGTGCCTTGGCATCACAGCGGAGAAATGCCATGACCAGCGGCCCAGTGGGCTGCGGGCGGAATTTCTCCTTAAAATGCACCCTGGCCTTGGGTCCTAACCTCAGTCTCCTTTAAGTCTGGCTAATATGACCCAGTCTCAATGCTTGATTCACTCTGAGTCCCATGAACAACTGAGCTTTTACACCCAACAGCCTGGAGGTAAGACCCCATCAAGTTCCAGGTCCTGTGAGGACAGAGCCCGGCCGGCCTGGCGTGCAGCTGTCAGACTGCCTGCTCTATCACGGGCTCGAGCACAAAGTGGTCTTGGCTCCTGGGAAGCACCCTGGGAGCCCGTTGTTCAGGGCGGGGCGAGCTACGTAAAGAGCAGCCGTCAGTGAGAGGCTGGGCGATGGGCCACGTGAAACCAGCCGACCTGAGGGAGGCGTGGAGGCTATGCTCGGCCACACGGATGTAACTCAATCAATCACAACAGTTATGAAATTTCCACAAAAACCCAGGACACAGCTCAGATGAGCTTCCTGGGAGGAGCGCCGGGTGTCACAGCCACACCAGGAGGGCGTGTCCCCAGGGACATGGACGCTTATGCTGAGCGCCTCGCAGCGGATGTGGATGCGGCAGGAGTCGCTCTAGCGGTGTCCTTCTGCTAGAACAACCCGCACCCAGGCGCAGCTCCTCTGTGCCAAGCCGCTCTGACCAACTCCTGACCCTGAGGATGATTGGTGCCCGTGCCTGCCGCTGGCATCAGAGAGCATGGTGGCAGGCAGGGATGCGTCCTAACTTGAGCCTGGCTAACTCCAGGTAGCCCTGAGCCACCAACTTCCATGGAATGGCCAGTGAAAACTGTCTTACTTATCTAACCAGGTTATTTCTTTTTCTTTTTTTCTCTTTTTTTAAATATTTTATTGATTTTTTACAGAGAGGAAGGGAGAGGGATAGAGAGTTAGAAACATCGATGAGAGAGTCATCGATCAGCTGCCTCTTGCATGTCCCCTACTGGGGATGCGCCCGCAACCAAGGTACATGCCCTTGACCGGAATTGAACCCGGGACCTTTCAGTCCGCAGGCCGACGCTCTATCCACTGAGCCAAACCGGTCCCGGCTAACCAGGTTATTTCTGAGGGCAAGGGCAATGACTTGCTTGTCTGGGCGGTAGGGGGGATGGGGAAGTACTTCATGAATTTTCAAATTTATGATTGATGACTGGAAGAATAAACTAAAGAACAGGTGAATGAAAGCCTAGTGTTCTGAGATTTAAATAGTTAACAAACTTTCATTCTTAGTCCCTGTATATCCACCCAACTGCCCCAAGCTCCAGGATTTAAAAAAACAACTTCAGTAACAAAAAGCTTCTCAACAGTCTCAGAAGAAGGATGTCTAATTTTTTGCTGAGATCACAGATTGGGGAAGGGATCAGATGCCGCAGGACAAAGTGCCAACACTGATGGGAAGAACGCCTGGCAGCCAGGCGTGTGCGTCAGGCCTGCCCACAAGTGCCCTGGACTAGAGCCTCAGGTTCTGAAGAAACCTCCCAGCCAGGCAAGCCTGTCACCAAACTCCGCCCCGGACTCACATGTATCTGAAAGCCGTAATTCCTCTGGACTGGATACTCAGTGACATCATGGCACGTGGACAAGTCAATTTCCCCATCCAAGTCAGCCGCCTGCAGAGAGAAACGGGAAGAACATCAAGGGATTTAGAAATAACAGTCAAACTAGACAAACCAGTTTTCAAAGGGACTATGAGTGCTGCCTTTCTCTCGGAAAACAGACCTCGCCTGCGGGATAAAACCAGGCCCCACGCTCCGTACAAGCATCAATGCCACCACTTTCCACGTGCTCCCCGCCCAGGATGCCCCATGGTGACGGTTCTCACATGTGCTGTCAGGATGTCTTCATGCTCTTAGAAATGGAAGTTAGCTTTATTAGAGAGTTTGTGAGCTCTATCTATTGAGATTTACTATATTAGAAACTAAATTTAAAAAAGTTTATAAACATATCTATTCACGTAAGAATACAAATAAGCCCATTTCATTTTAAAATACAAATATTACTTTAAGAAAACAGTGATAAGAGTGGTATTGTTTGGCATTTTTACAAATCTCTTTAACATCTGGCTTTTCTCATCCATCATTCAGTCTGATGGATGCATTGTTTTGGCTGAAGTACATGTTTCGTGAAGTCTGGCCTTACACAAAAAACGAAGTTGAAAGGGGAAGGCACATTTATTTATTTATTCATTCATTCATTCATTCATTTATTCTTAGATTTTATTGATTTTTTTACAGAGAGGAAGGGAGAGAGAGAGCTAGAAACATCAATGAGAGAGAAACATTGATCAGCTGCCTTCCATACACCTCCTACTGGGGATGTGCTCGCAACCAAGGCACATGCCCTTGACCGGAATCGAACCTGGGACCCCTCAGTATGCAGGCTGATGCTCTATCCACTGAGCCAAACCGGTTAGGGCGGGAAAACACATTTAATTCCTCAGATAACTGTGGTCACTTTTTGGTAAGTGGTAGTTTCTTAAAGGTTAACTACAAAGTGGAATCTGAAATCATATCAAGGAACTTTCTGAACCTGGTTACACTACAGCCATAGTTTGCCCTGCCCGCTGAATGGGTCTCTTACCCATGCACCACTGTACAGCGTTACACACTGGTCCTTTGGGAGAGAGCGAGTTATACACACTTTCTAGTGCTGACACATGTCATTTCTAAGGTCAAACACTGCATGTGTCAGCATCACTGCCCATTTGGTCAGTAGAGTCTGTAAGAAAAGCAGAGCTGGCTGGTTCAATGAATCTATTTCCCAAAGTTCCAGTTTCGGCTTGAAAGCTTATCTCGCAGCACTGGCAATCACTCCTGCCAGTTGTTTTCCTAAAAGGAACAGGTTCACTTGGTTCATTTAGAAAAATGTCTGCTAATCACCCCAGTGAAGAAGCGGCTTGTCTGTCAGTTATCCCTTCCAGTGGGGAGGGTGCCCCAGCGGGAGAGGCTGCTCGGCTAGCGAGCAGGCAGGCACAGCCACCAGACTTCGGTGGCAGCAGAAGTGTTTTAGACTTACTTCCCATTTCAAATCACAGAATATTAAAAAGATGGCTCTTCAATGATTAAGACTTAATACAATTAGTAACTTTCTATTTTAGTTAATCCTCACCCGAGGATATTTTTTCCATTGATTTTTAGAGATTGGAAGGGAGAAGGAGGTGGAGGGGGGAAAGAGAGAGAGAAACATTGCATGAACCCTGACCAAGGTCAGGGATCCCTGCAACCCATGCACATTCTCTTGACTAGGAATCAACCCATGATCCTTTGGTGTGAGGACCAGCGCTCTAACCAGTGAGCACACTGGCCAGGGCCATTAGTAACTTTCTTTAACTGTGAGTGTGGTAGTTAGGAACGCATGACCACTGACCATCTGTGGCTGTAGCCTGTGACTGCGCCGAGACACCAATAGTTTCACCCACCACTGCGTTGGCACCAGTGTAAATGTGAATACAATGGAAAAAGCAAACAGCATCTTAGTTTTATAACAACAATTTTGAGTATCCCAGCTCCCTAAAGTGTCTCCAGGGCCTGTAGCCCACACTCTGAGAACTGTTGGTTTATCCAAGTGGCAGACACACACAGTGTGTGGTTAGGCACTTCCGTGTGCTTCTGGATTTCCTGACATCAGGCACACCAGGGGCCAGCCCCCACACTAGTCTACACCTGCCCTGTATCACCATTATCTTTCCACTGCACTCCGTTAAAAACTTAGGTTTTTAGGTGTAGGGCATGGAAATACCAGTCCCTAGTGATAGACATTTAGGTTCTTTTCAGTTTCCTGCTATTAGAAAAGGACTGAATGACTAACCTTGGACATAGACCTTTTACTACATTTGGGAATATATCTAAGGATTCCTGGAGTGGAACTACAGGGGAAAGTTAGAAACACATTTGCTAAATTACTAAAAAAAAAAAAAAAAAAAAAAAAAAAAAAAAAAAGAAAGAAAGAAAAAGAAAGGAAAAAAGAATTTTTGTAGGAAAAAAAACTCCTCTGGGTCCTTTGACTGTGGAATCAGGACTGTTGCCTGGGCCAACCACGTCCACCTATCATGTTCTATGCTCATCCAGAGGAGAAAGAACAAGAGGTTTTAGTTCAGTCTTCAAAAGACTCACTTTACCACAAACTCTTATTGTAGAAAAAACAAAACTGCTCATCTTGAGCTTTAAAATAAGACATCTTTGTTTTTCACAGAAGTTGCTCAAACCTACAGTGCCCAGGTGCCTGAAGCAGTGCCTCAGGAGACCCCACCCCGCCTGCCAGGCAGGGCCAGTGGTGAGCACATCCAGAGCTGGCTGCACTGCGCTCAGACTTCCCACAGGTCTGGACTGGGAAAGCCAAGAGGCAATGCAGACACCGTCCACAGTCAGAGGGGGGCTCAGCCCAGAAGCCTTGGGCTCCCAGATGCCACCTGAACCCCTTCCGCCGTCTCCCCAATGGGCTCAAAGCCAAGACACTCACCTCTTCAGCCACCGAATCCCGGTAGTATCTCAGGCTTTGATCAGCAAGGACAAACCAGTGTTTCTTCCACTAAAATGGAAGAGAAAGGCAGACTCAGCTACTACATAGCATGTCCTGCTCCAAGGGGACTGGGCCATGTCCCAGAGCACCTGCTGAGCAGGCGTACAGCAGAGGGCAGGGCCTGCCACAGCCGCAGACACACACACACACACAGAGGAGAGGGCTCACTCAGGCCCAGGCAGTCGTGCACATGGGATTTCCGGGCACTTGTGAAGCCTGGCTCCCCAGGGACGGGGTAGGCAGGGGAGTGCGGAGGGTGGGCTCTCCGTAACCCAGAGGTGTGGCGAGTGAACAGTGCTTCACAGTCCTCAACCTCACTCTAAGGGCCTGGGCCCTTAGAGCTGAAAGGTGGCTGTGAGATCAGCATTTTCCTTCTAAGGAGGCACCTGGGAGCCATAGCCACTGGCTGGTTACCCAGGGGGTGCGCCCAGTGCAGCCAGCAGTGCAAACCAACCAGCCAGAATCCCACGCCGTCTCTGAGAGGAGCAGAGAGGGAGATGAGTCTCGGGCAAGGCCGAGAGGACTGACAGAGAAGACGTGTTGGCACAGCCACTCGGGTAGCAGGGGGAGAATGTGGGCGGGTAAGGTTCCAAGGCTTCCTGGTGTGACCTAGCAGGCGGCTCCTCATGCCTCCTTGGAGTCTGGCCTTCTAGCCCAACCAGGGTCAAGGTAGGGCTGGCAGGTCCAGGGCTAAGTGGTCTGCCTGAGTCTGAGGGGAAGAATGTACTAGATGGCTCTTCCAGGACTATGGCTGAGCTGGCATCTCTGACAGTCTTGCTGCCTTCAGCGCTGTCTCCTTGGCTGCCTTGTATGCATACACAAGCCAACCCTACAACCAGAGGCTTTCCGTTCCTGGGAAGCCTGGTCTCTCAGGAAACTTTGAGGGAAGAACAGCAAGTGGGGAGCTAGTGTTGGGGATGGATGTCCCCACAGCCTAAGGCCAAGATCACTGCTGGGCACAAGAGAGCAGTCCACACCCTGGCAGCAGGCGGGCCTGCTGGCCCCTCTCCAGAAGCCTGTCCACTGTAGCAATGGGGCTGGGACCCTCCACTTTTCGGAGGAGATGGAGATCTGCCAGAGGTGGAGGCAGATCCAGTGTTCACAGACCAGCCAGGGGGAAGGACAGCTCGGCCTGCAACTGCTCCCAGCCTCTCAGAAACCACAGCAGCTCTGCATACGAACCTGGCCATCCTCGTACTGTTTGGTCAGCCAGCCTTTCTTGAAATTCAGCAGGTCAGGCTGAGAAAAGAAAAAGAACAATTCAGAGGAAACACTGTGGCATCTCAGTCATGGGCAAAGGGTGACTGACAGAGCACACATTTTTGTCTAGATCTAACGGACACTAGGAAAAGGGGTTTCTTCACCTACCAGATAAGCCTGCATGGCCCCCCTTGCCCCAGTGGGCACTGCCTGCTGCCCAGAGGCACACACAGCTGTGAGGAGCAAGATGCAAGGATGGGTAGGCTACTGTGAAGGAGAGCCGCCTCCCGCCCTGACAGCGGGCTGCCTGGTACTGAGACAGGCCCTTGCTCCATCTTCCTGGGAGGCACAAGATTGGCTCAGACCAAGAGCCACTGAGCATATTATGTGAAGGGAAGATCTGCAGTGGCAGCTAGAAGGAGAATTCATAAGTTCTGCAGAAGCCACAAAAGACAGAGAGAGAGAGAGAAAGAGAGAGAGAGAGAGAGAGAGAGAGAGAGAGAGAGAGAGAGAGAGAGCGCGCGCACGCGCGAGCGTAGAAGACCACTGAGCAGAGGCCTGGTCTGGTTTTCAGCCAGACACAGCAGCTATCGTGCCAAGACCCTCAGGCCACTTATCTGTACCAGGATGAAATTGAGTCTCCCTTTCCTTACAAGGAGCAAAACTAGCACAACAGACAATGAAGCAGGGAGTGCAGGACCACCTGTGGGGCCGGAACAAAGAGCTCTCCCTGCTGGTCCCTCCTGCCCTGTGCTGTCCACACCCCCACTGGGATCCCCTGCTTGTATTACGTCTAGTACCCTGTAGAGCTGCTACCTGAGGGACACGGATCAGCCTTCCTCTAACCTTCCATACTCTCTGCTTTCCTACCACCATCCTGAGCAGAAGCAGGCTGTGGCGACTTCCTGTACTCTGGGGCCTGGGAGGAGTCAGAGAGAAGGGATGTGCAGTGGCAGGACAGTGACCAACAGCATCTGTCCTGGGAGTCTCTGCTCCAAACCCTGGAGCAAAACTCAGAACTCAAGGAAAAACAAAACTTCCTCAGGTAAGAAACCTCTTGTCCTTGCGTCAAAGTTTCATGTCAGTCAGGCTGGTGGCTGCACACCCTGGTGAGGAAGCGGTGGCACGGGCCCTGGACTCCTCAGGAGGCGAAGGACAAAGGCCGTGAGGAGCCCCAGGCCACCCCCAGGGCCTCCGGCCTGTCACTGCTGGAGGGAGTGATGGTGCCACCTTGACTCCCTCTTGCCATTCCCTACCTGCACCCTCACTCAACTGACCTGAGCAAGGGCCTATTCTCCCGCTGTGGGGAAATCCCAGCCAGAGGGCTTCAGTCTCCAAAATGTCATAGGAACAAACACCCCAAATAAGAAGAACCGGGGTTCTTTGCTTTGGCCCCGATCCCTTGCATCAGGATTCTGCTGCTTTGGCCAGGTGGCTACCTCCATGGGACCTCAGCGCTCAGGGGTCACCAACGCCCAGGAAAGGAAAAGAAACAGAGCAGCTGTCCCATCACAGACACGAGGTCCGTGGAAGGGGCTCCCGCACAGATGTACGGGCAGAAGCAGACAGTGACCTCAAGGGACAGAAGCAGCAGAAGCAGCACTCCAGGCCTGGGTGCTTGGGCGCATGGGCTCACCGTCAGTGAGGACTCCATGGACCTCCTGTCCAGTGACTTGGCTCTTCGGTGTGGAGACAGGGGGGAGGCTGAGGCGTCCGGGAGAGGAGCTGTGGGGGCTTCATTGGGGAGGTCCTGTGGCAGAGAGTAGCCGCCAGTCAGTACTGTCAACTCGGGCAGGAAGCAGGGAGTCCGGCTGCCAGAGCTGTGGAAGGGTCAGGACTGTAGGGACCTTGTTCCCAAGCGAGGCAGCTTTTGCAGGCAGGCAGAGGACAGGAGCCTCGGTCTAGAGCCTTCTGCTTTGCTTCCGGCAGTGGGATCTGAGATGCCCAGGCTGGTGGAGCAGCCTTGTCTCCCAGACACACCAGTCACCATCAGTCCTGGTCCCGCCCACCACTGCTTCTTGGGTCACAGAAGGAAGAGCCCTGAGTTACATGGCTGCAAGCAGAGCAGCAGGTCACCTCAGGGGCCCAGAGAGAATCTGAGGAGGAAGATGAAGATCAGACACGGCAAGGCCACAAGGCGGTGGACAGCGCAGGGGGACTGGGAGCAGTCCACCCTGTGGAGTGGAGAAAGGAGGGCTGTGGCTGCCACTTGAAAGAGAGACAAGAGGTGTCCGGGCTCATGGCCGGGCCACCGCAGAGGGAAGAGAGGCTCCGGTCCCACCAGGGACTTCACGGCCGCAGAGCGGCCTCCGTTGAGATAAACAAGTTCTGATAGGAAGAGCAGAAGGCAGGCTCTTCTTTAAGAAGATCACTCATTGGAGAAGGAGATGAGAGACCCAAGCAAATGACTGTGAACACAGAATGGGGAGCCCAGCAGAACTGTGTCAGGGTGTGTGTGGGGCCTCAGAGAGGGTGGGGTCATGTGTCCCATTCAGAGCTCACCCGCTTCCTGGGGAATGCCCTCTTCTCACTACGGCCTTGGCGTGTGTCACTTGATGGTGAGTGCCCAGCTGACAAGTTGGTCTCCATGTGCTCTGCCTTCTCAATGTCCAAGGCTTCAAATTTCTCAATGACCTGAGACCTCCTGCAAGAGAGGACAGGAGGCTGCTGGGGGGAGACAGGGCCACCCAAGAACAAGGTAGATTTGGTCTCAAGTTGCAGAGAGGCTCCTTCAAGGCACCCCCCCTCCCACAGGCCCACCCTAGCCTTCCCTGGACCTCCCCTGCACAGTACACCTGGCCTTGACACCCCTCCCTGAGCTCCCTCTCCCCCCTGCAAAGGGTGGAGCTGTGCAGGATTGGCATCAGCCCTCCTCCTTCCCCCAACACTGAAGTCCCTAATGATCTGTTATGATGACACACTTGGCAACCACACAGCCCATCAGCAGTGTCCTCCCCTGAGCAGACATGATCAGAAGGCAGTCGCAGGTGGAGGGGACGGACGCCCAACCTCCCTGAGTATCTAGCAGATCCTAATGAAGACCCCATCCCAAAGGTCCAAAATTTAGCAAGAAAAAGGCCCATGAATTAACATTGTTCTGCCAACAGTAAAAGAATCAAAAAACAAATCAAAACAAAACAAAGCAAGTTGATTTCATGTGAAAGGCCGCGGCATCATCAGGCCATCTATGGCTGGAGACGGAGCTGAGATGGGAGCGAAGCAGCGGAGGAGGGCGGGTAACGTCATACAGCGACACAGCAGGAGAAGGTGGAGAGGGGCAAGACCTGAAAGAAAATAAGGCTGGAGAATAAATAAACAGGAAGGACTGCTTTTTAAATCAAATAATGGTAAATCAAAATTATTCAAAGAATCAAAGAAACAAAACCCGAGGTGACATTGAGGAGGGCAGACCACCTTCCTCCCAGAGTCACGAGTGTTTGCCCCGTGGGCGTGGCAGGGAGGGGCACACCAGGGGCCTGGAATGAACGTTGGCAGGCCACAGGACAGAGGCCTGTCCCCCCCACAGGGACACCCAGGCAAGTGCCCGGAGGTGCCTCTCAGGGAGGGTGTGCATTCTGGACAAGTGGCAGGCCGAGGGAAGGGACTCTGAGTCCAGAGATGGAAGTCTACTTTCTAGGGAAGAAGAGAGGAAGCAGCCTCAAAACCTGAGACCCGCCCCTTACCCAGGCCAGCTTTTTTCAGTGAGGGTTTCCATTAAACATGGTATTTTAAGATTTCTTTATCAAGGTACGCTTAACACCAGGGCAGCACATGGGGCACCTGCACCCTCTGCACTTCCCTGTGCTTCCACGAGAAGAGTGGGAGCCCCAGTGCACTGAGCTTCTGTGGAGTCTCCTCCAGACTCAAAACTTATCCCTGGCCAGCCTGCCGGAGCAGCAGTGCAGGAGGCTGAGGGGCAGCAGCGGTAGAGGGCATGCGTCTGAGCACAGGAAGCTACGGCAGAGGCAGGAGTTCCCAGGACCATAGGATGCTCTTGCAAAGGCTCGCCTGGTCAGGGAGATGATGCTCCCCCCATGCCTGACCTCCCCGTGAGGTCTGATAAGATTCCAGGCCCCTTCGAGGCCTCAGAGCCACCGCTTGCTGTAGGAGAGCCCCATCCATGGAGGCCAAGGCCCAGGAAGCCCAGGGAGGCCACAGGAGCAGCGCCCGGCAGAGTCCATGAGACTGCCTGCTGCAGAGCCGCCAGGGTCGCAGGAGAAGGAGTCCATGAGAGACGAGGAGAGAGGCTCTGTCTGCAGCCTCTCCACTGGGATAAGCTCTGTGAAGTCAGCCATGTTTACTTTGCACACTGGGAAGTTTTAAACTTGGGTCCCTAGATGTGCGGCCTCCTTGAAAACTCCGCCCTGCACTGGCTGACAGCACAGGAAGGGGGCGCTGCACCTCTGTCAACCTCTCTGGGCTCCCAGCCCAGGGCGCAGGACCGCATGGAGCTGGCCCTGTGTGAGTCACCAACAGTTCAGCGAGGGCTATGGCCTCCCCACGCTCGCTCAGCAGCAGCTCACCATCCAAGAACTGTGTTAAAGGCCTGGGAGCGAGTCTGCAGGCAGAGCTGAGAGCCCAGAGGACTGTTTCAAGGCTATAACTTTTCAGGAAACCAACTCATCACCCCCAACCTGGCCTCTGGCAGGCCTGGCTCAGTTGCCACGTTGGGTAGCTGTGGCTGACACTGCCAACGTGGGGGTTCTACTCTACTGGGGGCAGGATCAACCACGCACAGGTCAGCCACACGGGACCAGAGAGCAGGCCTGGGGAAGTGACAGCAGCCAGTCAGATGCCATCGGGGCCAGTAAGAAAGTGACGTTACAGTGTTATGGTGCAGAGCCGGTTGAGTCCCAGGGGTGCCAACACCAGGTAAAAACCCACGGTAGCAAAGAACATGCAAAGCCCCAGAGATGCTGCCAAGCCCAGGCCTGGAGATCAGAATGAATTCAAAGCCAAGCAGGTGAGCTGAATGTTAATTCTCTGGTGTGCACTGAACCAGTGGCCGCCCCACCATCGCCTTCCCAATTCACAGCCTGCCACAGGCCAGCGCGGAGCCGTCCCACCCTGGCAGCTGGCCTCCTAAACCCGACCAGTCCCTTCAGTTACACATTCCCTTAACCACTTACAGGACAGCCCAACCATGCCGTGGGAGCAGGGCCTTCCCAGCTCAGGACCCAGCGGGTATGTGTCTACTGCTCCAGCGGTTCCCAGGGGAGTCATCCTGCTTCTGAGCCCCTCTGTCTGCATCTACACACGGGGATGCTGGCTCAGGCCCCTCAGGGGGATACTAATGAAACAGGAAGCCAGCCCTGTCTCTTGGAATTAGGAATATTCCGTCGTCTTCTCTTTCAAGACCAACCACTATGGGTGTCTTTTCTTTATGCTGGAGATGAACCCACAGGCGCACAGGTTCTTTCTACCTGGGGCATGTGGAGAGTGCAGAGGTGGTACAAAGAGAAGGGAGCACAAGAGGAAGGCACCCTATGCTGGTCCAACCCCTTATGGGAGCCCATTGTCACCCTGGCCTGTCGCCACAGCATGCCTCAACTCTGAGCCTTCTTAGGCATTAGTGGAACAGTGAGGACACTGTGAACACTTCTGGAACTTTTCTGGAAAGTGAACTTCTTTGGGAATCTAATGAAAACTATGGATTTTTTTCCACTGGAAAAGAAAAAATTGTTCCTCCCCAGACTTTCAAATGGTTTAGAGTCCGTGAGCCCCAGCATCCTAACAGTGATCTGGGTGAGAACCCTGCTGTTGGGCAAACAGAGACCAAGGTTCTTCCTTACCCTTAGTAGGGGGGAAGCTGTTATATGAGAGGGGCACTCGGGCGCTCTGGTGCAGACAGGGGTGTGGCCTAAGAGTCAGAATCAAGCAAGTGCTGCAGGAAGAACTATGCTGCCACCCCATGCCCTGGGCATGGCCACCTTCCCTGCCCCTCTTCCACACCTGGACCTGGGAATGGCAAGAAGAATTCCTGCGACCACCTGCACCTCTGCGGGCTCCCTGCCTCCGCTGTCTCTTTAGAGACTAGAGCTGGGCCGGGAAGGAAAAGATCCAGCCACTTAAGGCCTGCAGATGAGGATCCTCCCAGAGGCCCTCAAGTCCCAGGCTAAGCAGCACTCATGGGGAGCAGCTGGCTCCTGGCCTAAGCCTCTGGTTACCCAGAGATCCTACATTCTAACCCCCAAGAGCTGAGTTCTGGAACCAGAATGCAGGGTCAGGAGGGGAAGGCTCCCCACATGCTCTGAATGTGCTTCCCAAGCAAGGCTCAGGAAACAGGTGTATGCGGAGAGGACACGGGAAGGGAGAGGAAATGTGTAAAAAACTGTGTGAGAAGAGTGCGTAACAGTATGTGAGTGTGTGAGACTGTGTGAGGACGTGTGTAAGAGAAAATGTGGGAGTGTGCAGGAGAGATGTATATGTGTATGTGTGTGTGTGGGGGGGGGAGGGGGCGCAGAGGGATCCGTGTGCCTGTGTATGCATGTGCTTTCAGCCCTCCAATTCCCTCCTTACCTCCGCTCGTAGCCAAACAGACGGGCCACCTCTTCCCTGCCAGGGCTCCGGGCCCGAGTCCTACGCTCCAACCGCCTCCTCTCCACCTGGAAGGCTTCTCGGTGGCTGATCCTGATGGCCTTAGGGACGTCGGCCAGGGCGGCATACTGCCTGCTGGCTTTAAAGGCAAAGGTGCACCCCAGTCTCTCTGCTTCCCGCCCCCCCGGGCTGCTGGAGTCCACATGAACAGGAGGCTGGCTGGCCACATCCAGAGAGCCGAGGGAGCTGCTGCAGACCATTCGACACAAGGGTTGAGAACCTGGAGAAGGAAAGGGATGACCAAGCTCCTGGGAGGGTGGTCCAGGGCCACTGTACCTGTTGTTGGGGGTGCTGGGGCTGGGAGGGGAGACCGGCTGGGGCAGTGGATGCTCCTCGGCCTTCAAGTCCTGCTTGGTCTTCTCCAGGGAAAAGTAGCCACTCTCCACCCGGACTTTGCGGCCACAGTCCATGCGGTCGCTGCTCATGGCGCTCTCCTCTGGAAGCAAGGGGTAGGAGACACACTCAGCCTGCTGCCATGCTTGGTTTCTGAGGATGTTTTCTCCAAGCCCACACGGATCCAAGCAGGGGCCTCTCTACTTCCACGTGGCTCCCCAAGGCAGGCGGTGGGGACACATCTCCTTCCCGCTGTGCCTTGTCCTCTCCCTACGTGGCTGCCTCTTGGCAGACGGCCAGGGAGGCCCTCCCCTTCCCACCTGGGATCTTGACTGGAAGAGCCCTCCAAAAAGATGTCCCCCAACAACTACTTCTTAGCAAGTATCCAGGAGGAACCAACTAGCCGTTTATCTTTGAGTATACTCATGTGTTTGGGGAGGGAAAGGAAAAAGGCTTGTATGAAACCAGAGGAGTGAAGGGATTTTAGACAGACTGGGTGTGTGCTCCCCAATGAGAATGGAGACGACGACTGCTCAGAGCTGGGTCAGTCCCAGCTGCCCACTTGTCTTTACTGATCTAGACTCAGCACAACAGGAAGAGCCAGCCTGCGTCTCACCGAGCCGTCCGGGGCTTAGACAAGGAGGCAGAGGCCACTGCCCTGCTTTGCTCAGGCCAAGTGCTACATGGAGAAACCACGGGGAGGCCAACGGCTTCCTCCCCAGCACCCTCTCCCCTGCTTCCGGTCCTGGCAGCATGGCGATGGTGAGGAGGAGGAGACAGCCCACCCTGCTGCTGCTCTTAGGAACACAGTGGATTCTGAGGTTAACTTGCCATGAAGATAAAGCAGCCACAAGGGGCAGGAAACAGGCCTCGTCACACACAGAGCAGACCTCCTCCCAGGGCATTCTGACTCTCAACACCCATCCGGGGCGTATAGCACGTGCCATCCTTACAGACAGGCCTCACAAGCCGGACGGGCAAAGGCAAGGCTGGAGCCCATGAGGTAAGAGAACCCAAAGCATGGACTCACGGCTGAACTGAGCAGGCTCCTGAGGGAGCCCCCAGGGCTACCCTATAGGGACAGAGGCCTTCCAGCACTGTGAGGAGGACACCAGGACAGGCGGGCACTTACGCCAACCTGGCCACCACTTACCATCTTCACCCTCCAGCCCAGGTTCCCTCAGGGCGCTGGCAGCCGGAGCCTGGCTCTGGCTGGGACTCTGAGCTGGCCTCAGGTTGCTCTCCTCTGGCTGGTCCTTGGCCCTCATTTCTTCCTGCCAGAGTGTAGACTTGGTGGTGGGGACTTTCTCGGCGCTGGGGATGCTGCTGCTGCTGGTGACAGCCATCTTGGCTGGCCCTGGCTCCTGGGGAGAGAGCACACAGCCAAGCTAGTGTAGAGGGCCTGGGGGTTTAGCTAAGGGGACACCTAGACCAACGACACAATGCAGAGGCCCAGAATTCCCTAAAGGAAAGGCTCACAAAAGAGAGGTGTCTTGACTGGGGGAGAAGCTCCTTCTGGATGGTGATACGGCCTTTTCTCCCAAGTGCTCGGTGACCAAGGCCTCAGGCCAAGGTTGGCAAATGCATGGAGCAAAGGCTTACGGTTTCTGTTCATATTCTCAACACCAAACACATGCAAGTTCTCCCTCCCACAAACCAGTCAGAGCCCAGAGCAGCGGACCAGGCATTAGAGACCAGACCCCAAGTGACTGGTTCCGAGTCTGTCATTCCCAGACTTCCAGGTGCTCAGGATATGAGTGAGGGAGCGGAGACGAAGTGAGGCAAGAACACACCGTGGAGGTGAATGAAAAGCATGTGTTCACACAGCATCCACACCAGGGCCAGCTCTTAGCCTCACCTACCCTCTTTTTTTTGATCCTAGGATGCTAAAATGAACCTGAGATACCGTTTAAAGGAAGAAGTCATTAGATGCAAACGTAAACCTGCTCACACCCTCCCGCCTGGCCCCCTACAAGTTTGATGGGAACCTACAGCCCAGATGGGAACAGTCTCACCCCATTGCTCCCACGTCGGAGTGGTGCTGCTCTGTAGGGAAGCATGCGTACAGGATGCGTTTGGCACAAGGGTCTGTTCCAGAGCCCACAGGGACCTTCCAGGTCACAACCCAGAGCCCAGAATTGGGGGTGGGTTGGGGGGGGCAGACACAGGGAGCCCACAGAGAACCTTCACTCAACACTGCATACCGGAGTGGAGCTGAAACCAGGGTGACACCCTGCAGTGCCAGTTCACACCCTGGCCAAGCCCCTGCCCAGCCAATGGTCCTGGGTGCCAGCTGCTTTGGGCCCTATCAAAAGTGAAGTAGATCTTAACTATCTCTCCTGAAACATGGGCAATAAAGTACAATGGCCACTCTCCCACTTCCATCCTGGTGACCAAGCCTCATGCTTAAAAACCTACTTTTACACCTCCTTGACTTGGGGCTCTTGTGAGGGGTCTAGATGCTGCCACCGGCTGGATGTGTGCACATGCAGACACAGGAGCCCACCAGTGGTCATTCACCCACAGCTACTCATGTCGACTATGTGCTCGGCTCTGGCTTGGCACCGCCACATCCCCACCCCACCCCCTCACAGGGAAGGGAGAGGAGGCCTGCTCAGCCAGTAAGGGAAGAGTGAGGTGCCAGGCACTGTAGGGGTGGGAGAAAGGTCCAGGTTAGAGGCAGGTGTCTTGGATGGGCATCCTGGAGGCTCCACCGAGAGGCCTCGGTACCAAGCCTCATGGGAAGGAGAATGGCAGGATGGCTTTTCCTACAGACCCGGGACCACACAGCCTCCCACTGTGTCAAAACTACCAGCAGACCCAATTCCTAGGCCAAGATTCCCAAGATTTTTTATTCCTTCAAAAGAAGGGTACTTCTCGGAAGAAGAATGGTTTCTGGCAGTTCCTGAGGGGTCCACTGACCTAAGGAGACCCAACTGCAGGGCTCCGTCCCCTCAGGCAGCACACTGCCCTCGCTTCACGCCCCGCAGCCCAGCCGGCTCCAAAGTGCCGATGGGCTTGGGTAGAGCTGGATTCCTCCCGCAAAGCTGGGTGCGGTGAGGGGAAGCCCTCCTTGGTGAGTCACTCCCTCTATGGAGGGGTGCTAGACCGGGGCAGGGAGAGGCTGCCAAAAAGGGTAAAGGGTAAGGGACAGGCGACTGTGTCCCCAGCCCCATCCTGTGGGTGAAGTGCCTGTGACACACAGGCAGCCCTTTGATGCTTGGGGTCATGACCCTAGCCCTGGGGAGGGGATGGAGTGGCAGGAATCCCCAAGAGAGAGAGAAAATTCCAGGCCTGAGATATGAGGGGCCGTGTCCGGGAACTGGGGGAACATGCATTTCCCAGCATAAGCATCTACAGACCCGCCCCCTGTCCCGGCCTCCCAGCTTGCGCAGCGCTGGCAGCTGCACTCCCTGCCCCGCTTCTGGGCTCCCACTTCTGGGGCTCTCCGGCCCACACGGAGCTCTCCCCCCTGGGGCAGCGGCAGCGGTGCCTTCTCCGCCTTTGTGCCGAGTGGGCAGGGACAGAGGGCAGGTGCAGCAGGTATAAAGCCATGCTGCCTCCAGGAGAGGGTGGATGGGGGGGAAGCCTGGATTGGGGGAGAAGTCGCTTTTCTTCTTCAGAGTTAAGACCGTGCACAAGCCAGGCCAGGGCTGCACGGCACCAACCCCTGCTCCCCGCACTGTCACCATTGTGGCCGAGGGCGCTGGGCTCACGCTGACCCAGGGCCTGGCTGCCAGGAAAAGAGGCAGGAGTGGAAGCACTAGTTTTCCAGGGCTGGTCTGTGTGGCTGGACAGCTGCAGTGTGCAGGACGCCAGCACTGGAACAGTCTGTGCTTGCACCTGGCTGCTCAGAGGTTTCCCTCGCAGGAGGAAGGCGGGCCGGCTAGGGCCTCTGTCTCTGCACAGCCAGGAAGTCTCCTCTTTGGAGGCAGTTTCACAGAGCCTTCCTCTCCCTTCCTGGGCGTGGACAGCAAGCAGGAGGAGGGTTCTGATTGGGACAGGGCATCGGAGCAGGCTCCCAAGTAGAAAACAAGATGCCTAAGAAGCAGAGGTGGCAACTCACAGCGCATGTGTGGCCCTGGATGGCTGGAGTGCTAGACCAGAGGGATGTTCCTTCTGGAAAGTTTCATTATGGTCCCGGAAGGCAGGAGCAAAGACCAAGAACCTGGGGGCTGGGAGCTGAAGGCTCAGCCTCCCAAAGCTTCACTTGACAGAGTGAACCCCCACCCGCACAGCGGGCTGGGAGACGTGTCCCCGGGCTTCACAGCTCTGGGACTTGGGGTGAGGGCCGAAAATCTCCATTCTTCCTGCCCTGGTCATACCCAGAGTAGATGACTGTCCCTTCTCTAGGTATCTCAGCACCATGAAAAGTCCTCTTGGAGTGAACAGGGCCCGAGTAACGAGCAGTTCCTGGGCCCATGACTATTAGGCCGCAGGCTTCGAAGGCTCTGGTCAGGGCAAGCCTGTTCCTCCTTTTGCCCTGGGCCCTGGCTGAGAGGTATGTGCCCTTCTTGAAGCCTAATCCTCATCCTCCTTTAGGGCCCGGCTTGGGCCTCTCTCCCCCGCTCTCCTTCAGATGTTCTCAGTAAACCTACACTCTATGGCCCAACTCCCAATTGCCTGAGACCCTCCTGGGCTCCTGCCTCAGTGGCCAGATAGCAGGGTGCAGCAGAGCAATGTTTCCAGCTCCCCGCTGGTCTGACCCGAAACTATCCTGGGCCATAGAGAGGCCAGGCCCCTGGATCCTTATCCCGATGAGGCCCTATTGGCGTAGGCTTTCCCCACAGTCCCATTTGGGTCACTAGAATACCTCAGCAGCAGGCTGTGGAGTAAACTCTCCTCTGGCAGGCCCCACATCATCCCCGGGGACTGCCTATAGGGGCTGGCCCCTGGTGAAAGTTCACAGCTCCCAGAAACCAGTGGCCTCAATGTGACGCTCTGGAAAGCAAGTGGCAGAAGGAAGATATCATCCCAGCTAGCTTCTGCCAGGGCTCACGGGGGCTGCGCGAGAAGACTGGGCCCAGGCGCCAAGCTTTCAGAGACCCTCAGGAAAGGGGGTACCTTCCCACACTCTGACCACAGGGCTCCTGCCACCAACTGAAAAGGTGAAGTTTGCAGTGCTTGAGGTGATGAGATGACATTAGGGGAGGGACGAGAAACAGATAGGGAACGAGAACACACCGAATTCCCAGGGCTGGCTCAGTGTCTCCGCACACGTAAGTGCCTTAATGGAGAGGGCAGCTTACCTTGGAAATGCTCAGAGCCTAGGCACTTACTCTGTCTGGGATTTTTTTTCAACCCAGGCAGCGCTGGGGGACTTGCATGTGTATCTGTTATCCCCAGCGGAAGCTCTACTCCAGTCCAGGACGACTCTGCGGGCACTGGGCCAATTTCTTGCCAGGGACATTACTTCTAGGAGGGATCCCTTGGGGAGGATGAATGGAGGGCAGGCCCCAGTGCAGTCCTTCAGCAGAAAGCCAGGACATGCATGTTCGGAGGAACCCACCAGGTGTGGGGATGAGGGAGGAGAAAGGGACCCAGGCCAGCACACACCTCCTGGTCCTGGCCCAGGCCGACTTCTGTCACTCGGTGAAGCAGGGAGCAGATAATGAGGCCTACTAACCGCAGGGGTGGCCTGGTTCTCCCATGGGCTGGCCCTCTGCCAGGCTCTGAGCCCTGCTAGATGCCAAGGGGTCCCATTCACTATCCTGCCCGCTCTCAGGGTCACTGTAAGACTCGATCAGGCAAGGCAAGAAAGAGCACTTGGTAATGGTCAGGTTTGGAGCAGAGAGGAAAAGAAGAACACTTACGGAACACCTCAAACGGGCCCAATGTTTCCTTTCCTGGTTACAATAGTAGTCTAACTAGACTTCAACAGGCTCATTTGCAAATCCATTCACAGAGGCTCAGGAAGGTTAATTGCTACCCAGGGCCCCAGGAGTGTGGAGCATGGCATGGAGTTGCAAACCACCTTCTGGTACTCTGAGCCCCTGTAGATGGGAGGGAGGGAAGGAGGAGGAAAGTGACCTCTGCGGAAGGACTGGAATGGGTAAGACACCCAGCCCCTCCCACGCCGGTCACATGGGAATGGGGCAGTGGCACAGAAATCAGGGCTAGCGTCAGTTTTTCCCATTTATGGTCAAAGCCCAGAGCAGGAGTAAGGTCCCCAGAGAGCCCCTCACTTGGCCAGGACACTCCAGGGCCTCGCGGCCCAGCCCCCCTTCCCAGCCTATGTCTTCAGGGTCCTCTCTCTATGGAAAGTGGAACTGAGCTGAGGCCGTGAGGAATGTTGTGCGGCAAGCAGCCCCTCCCAGCATGCTCTCTGTTCCCAGCAGCAGGCAGGACAGCCAGGAGAAGGGACATGCCTCCTGGCTGGGAGCTCCTGGGGAAGCCCCGTGCACACAAGCAGGCTGCCCTGTCCCTGTAGTGGTCCTACTGTGGCTCAGAGAGGAGCCCCGAGTCATCAGAAGGAAGGGGGGAGACAGGCTGGGCTGACGACCATCTCAGCCCTGACCTGACTCCTTCCTCCACCCCCCAGGTTTAGGCTGGGTCCCCAAGCCCTCCCACTTCCCAGCTCTGTTGGGGAGAGGCCACCTGGCAAATGCTCTGCCTACCTGTGGCGTGGGAGGCTCCACTTTCCGCTTCTTCTTCTGGTTCTGCTTGTTGGTCCTGGGATAGACCATGAGCATCTCTAGCCATCTGGGGAGAAAAGAGAAGAGAGCGGTCAGACCACTGTTCTCAGAGATGAGGACCCTGCCTTGTTGAGTGGCCCAAGCAGGTCCCATGCTCCTCTCAGTGGCCAGGCCTCCGAGCACCTGAACAGGGTCAGGCACCAGCAGGTCAGAGCCTGTTACTGCCGGGGCAAAGAGTGCCAGCAGTGCAGCCCAGCACAAGCAGACCATGAGGACCAGGCTCAGGTGCTGACCCTGCAATGGCCACGGTGCAGGTGGCCCAGGGAGGACGTGAGCGCCGCCGTGGCAGAGCGGCAGGCCTGGCCACTGGCCTCAGAGTGCAGCGCACGTCACTGTTTCCATCACTCCCCTTCCTTCAGTGCTTAGACCTGGACTGTCCTCTAGAATGGATTTGGTTAGCAACCTTGTTACTACTGCAGGCCGCTCACGGTTCTTAAAGCAACCAAAGTTCCTCACATCAGGTCACTGGCCTCCTAGACCATTTAATCACTTCTGGCCCCACCTCTACAGCGAGGGCGCTGGGCCCCTCGGCTCTGGTGAAGCCTGGCAGGGCTGTCAAGGGACCCACAGCAGGGCCCACACGCTAAAAAGTCCGCTCTGGAGCAGCATCAAGAAAGGGAGGGCTTAGATCTTGATTGGCTCCCCTCTAACCACACCTTGTATGGCTCCCGGCCCTCTAAGTTTCAGTCGTTATCTTCGAAACCAGAGCCTAGCTTAGGCCACGGTGTGACCACGGTTGTCTCATTGTAGCTTTGCAACATTTGGGAGGGTTGGGGAAGGGGGGCAAGAGGAGCGGAGGTGAGGAGAACTGGTGAGGATGGCACCAGAGGAAACTGGCCCACTTCCTCCCAGAACACTAGGGTCTGTGCTACGTCTGCTAGCAGCCTGTGACAGGGGCCGGGTTGTGGAGGCAACGTCTGCATTGGCAGCACTTGGCTGGAAGATGCTGTGACAACCGGCACCCCAAGCCTGGGGTAGGGGGAAGGGCTGGTCTCTCGGCACTCAGAGGTACTTCTTTAATTTGAGGTGCAGGGAGGCTGGTCAAGTCAACGGCCTTCTGGGAGGTGTGCAGCTGCCAGGAGAGTGGGCTGTGAGGAATCACAGCACCTGAGCTGAGGGACTCCCCTCACCCCATCTCAGTCCAGAGCAGGCTGATTTGTTGAGAATCCACATTGCCTGTGCCCTCGAGCCTGAGGCACAGGACCTGCAGGTCACTTTTCTGTGAGCTCCAAAGCCAGCAGAGAGGCAGACTCTCAAAGGGCCTCACTCGGGTAACCTAGCAGCTAACAGGCTTGTGGGGTTTCTAGGCTGCCCAGGGGCTGAAAGCTCTTTGGGGCAACTCTAAGGCCCTCTTACAGCTGAGCCCAGGAGGGAGAAGCGGCAGCTCAGAACCGCTGAGTGCAGTGCAGGAACATGGCAGCAGGAGCAGGCCCTTTGGGTGTGCTGAGCCCCTGCCCACCGGCCTAGCTGCTGTCAACTCGCAACACCACGGAGCTGGGCAAGTGTGAGCCTTGCAGGACAGGGCCTGAGGGAAGAAGAGGTGGGCACCGTGGTTGCACTGCTGACTAAACGGAGCGCCTGCAGCTCCTACCAACATGAACAAGGCAGACTCAGGTGAGCACACAGTGAGGGTGGCCAGGGTCACCAGGCACCTCAGTCCCCGGTTGGTGGTGCTGTAACTAGAGGTTGATAGATACCTGGCCCTGAAACAAACGATGTGTTCTCTGCGCTCAGATTTCTCAGGGAAGCCCGGGAGGCTGTGTCTAACATTATCAGATAGGTTGTGAATGTTAAATATATCCAGGGAAGAGAGGTGACGGTGAATGTGGACATGGGATTAGTGGTGGATGTGGGCACCAGGGACATAGATGGTCCCCAACTTCAAAGGCAGGGACAGGTGAGAAGAGAAAGTTCTGACGCAGCCCAGCTGGAGGGCACAGAGGAAAGGGAACCCTAATACCCTAACCCTACCTCTCCCCACCTTGCCCATCCCCACCTAAGTAAGTCCCACCCCTAAAAGAGCTGTGTGAACCAGTGCCTCAAACACCCTAGAGGTCCCTCCAGCATGAGGAAACTGGGGGAGAATGACCACCCTCCATCCAGCCCAGGCAAGACCTGCTGCCTCAGATGTTCAGGAGGCCCCATCTCCGAGGAGGCCTGGGAAGAGCTGAAGGGCCATTGGCTCCCCTCGCCTCCCAGAAATGTCTGCACCTCTTTAGGGACCCCAGAGCTTAGGCCAATTGTAGGGCCCCAAGCCGACAGATGACGTTACTCAGCAAAGGAGCCCTCATAGGACCCAGAGGCAGAGAGGAAGCCAAGGGAAGAGGGTTCTTCTGGAAAGAGAGAGGCAGAGAAGGGAGAGAAGATGGTGCCAAAGTCCATTTCCAGGCACACGCCCACCTGACTCTAAAGGAGACCCGAGTGTCCCGGTGGGTGGGAAAGAGGAAGCTGCTGCCCAGAGTCCTGCCCACTGGACAAGGAGAGGGCAGGCCTGGGACCCGAAGGGGAAAGGCAGTCACATGAGTTATTTTGGCTCTGGGTATGCCACTGAGCCACCTCCCAAGGCCCTTAGGACTGACCAGTCTAACCAATTAACTGCCACAATATTTTGAATTTAATTGATAAAGGTCCGCCGCTTGCTTCTGTAGGTGCTTATGGCGTACAAATGGCTACACTGGGGACCCAGAGGGCATACACGCCGGGTGCCGTGGCCCCGTAATGACCTTGTGCATCACTGTGATTTATAACAAATGTGCATTTGGTCACTCAGATGACGAAAACCGATTTCTCATGTGTAGGTGGTTTATGTCCACAATGCCTAGCTCAGCACTCTCAAAACCCCTCCTATGTGAGAGGGCTAAAGGCACCTTGTGTGGTCAGTGAGTGACCCTGGGAAGCGCCTATGGATGGGCCTGGCTGTCAGGAGAACCAGCCACATGATTAGCGAGTTGGAACTTTCAGTCTCACAACCTCATCTTTTTTGGAGGGGGGAGGGCCGGAGGTTGAATCAATAACTAGAACAGGCCTATGAATGGTCTTCATCAGCCCAAAAGGACAGGGTTCAGAGAGCTTGCCGGCTGGGAGCCAGAACGGGTTCCACACTGCCATGTGGATTCCAAGCTCCATGAGGACAGAAGCGCTGTTGTGTGAGACCTCGCCTACACATCTGGCTGTTGTCGGGGATCCTTTACTATCCTTGGTAATAAGTATAATTTAGTGAGTCCAGGGAGGGGTTGTGGGACCCTCCATGCATAGCAGGTGGTGGGAGTGCAGTGGGGGGGAGCAGTCCTGTGGGACTGAGCTCTCACCCTGTGGGGTCAGATGCTATCTAACCACAGGCAGATGTCAGAAGAGACAAAAAATCCTGGACACTGTGCTGGTGTCCGGGCATAGTTTGCTGGTGTGGGCATTCCTCCCACCATATGAGATTTGGGTCTGGGATCCCAATTTACCTTGGCTACCCAAGCTGCATGGAAATGGCAAGCCCCATACACACAGAGTGACCGAGGGAGAGTGGCTCAGGGCAGGGACAAGGACCCCTGACCTATGCCAAGTGTCTGACAGCAGAACGTAGGCTGCCTGCCAGAGATGCGATCAAATGCCAGACACTGTCATCCCAATGCCATGTGGCACACCACTACCTCACTGACCTGCTCCCCAACTCACACTCCCTGTCTACCCCGAAGACCTCCGACAGCCCCTTTTCTTATCCTGCCTATCATCCCAACCCACCTCTGGAACCCAGCTCCCACAGGAGGGGCTAGGTCTCCCAAGGAATCCAGTTGGGCAGTGGAACCCTGGCTCAGGTGTGCTTGCCAGACAACAAGAGCAAGTGTGAACCAGGAAGTGCAAACAACCCCATATTGTCACTTATACCTGGAAGATGCCCTTAGGCTCCCTATTCCCAGAGCCTCAGTCTCCCAACTGTAAAGAGACTCTGTAAAAGCCCTTTACACTCTTAAATTGTATGGCTGTAGGGTTAAGTACAGGAAGCAGAGGGTCATAGTGTCCTCCTGTTTGCCTGAGAGGTTAGAAATGCAAACCTGCCTCTCTCCAGGGGAGGAGGATTTGGGGGGAGCTGGCATCCCCAGCAGAGGGCCACCTGGTCCTTCTGCTCCCCGCCTACCACGTGTATGATAGATCTGAACCTGGCCCTTGTTTCTCCCAGCAGCAGCCTTGGCCAGGCTAAAGCTGAGACTCTGAAGCCCACGCAGACCCTGCTCACAGAAGTCGTCCAGCGGTTGAACTCAAAGGCTTTACTTTCTGGTCCTGCTACTTTGCAGTAATCAGCCTCGTCCCCCCAAGTCCCAGATTTACTCCTCCAAAGCCTTCTCAGCCTCACCTGCTTCCTTCTACTTAAAGGGTGAGCAGGATTCTCCAAGACCACATGCCTGAGCTCCGGCCACGTATGCTCGCTGTGCATGCAGCACGTGCGGCTGAGCCTTCCAGAGCTGACAGCAGATGGCCATTAGCAGGGGATCCTGGAAGGCAGCGCTGCACGGGTTCAGGAGCAGGAGCTCAGCCCCTCTCGGCCGTGGGCTCCCCTTACCCTTCCTACAGTTTCCCATAAGCCTCTGCATAGTGTGCTCAGGGGAGTGGGACGGCCCAGAGTCTTTCTGTTCCTTCCACTTAGACAAAGTAGCCAGGGCACACAGCAGCACTGGGGACTCTGTATGAGCGCGAGGAGTGAGCCAGAGAGCCCGCTACTGGCTGAGGAAGCCAGCCGTGCACACAGACCATAAGGGCCAGCAGAGGGAGCTGAGCACCTCCCCGGGGGATTGCTTTCTGGCAGAGGGAACACTCAGGCCGACTTTAACAGCCTAGAAGTCCAGGGGTTGTTTCAGACTGAGGGAAGGGCCAGAGTGAAGGCACAGAGGTGGGGACAGTTGAGAAATGTACAGCAACAAGCACTCAGACTGAGGGCGGTGAGAGTGAGGCTGGAAGGCTGGGAAGGAACCGCAGGGCAGCCCAAGAACTTGGACTTGATCTCCAGGTGATGGGTTTCGGGTAGGAGAGAGGAAGGTGACAGTGTTTTGGGGACTGAGCTCTGGTGGTGGAGTGACATGAGGCAGGGTGTGAGAACAGAGGAGGCCAGTGAGAGGCTTGGGAAGATGTGGCAGCCCCAGAACCAGGGCAGTGCCAGCAGAGGAAGGCCTGAGTCAGCAGGACTGAGGGAGGGGGCGTGGTGTACGTGTAGACACGGATGAAGCAAAGGCAATGGGGGTGGAGTGGGCACACAGTAACACAGGGAATAGAGAAAGCGGCTCAGAGGAGCGAACTCATTAAAGGAAGGAAGTGATGGAAACGCTGCTCATTTATGACGAAGGGACCCGGGCTAGGGACCTGCTGGTGGGCAGGGAGCACCACTTCCCACAATGCACAGAGCAGACTCACCCGCTGATGATCTCCTTGGTCTCTGCCCGGATGAAATGCTCCTTCTCAGGGGTCAGAATGCACAGGGAGAACTTCTGGCCTGTCCGGCCCTCTCCGTCCACCACGTCTGTGCACTGGTTCATGTTGATGGTGCCCTGAGGGAGGGTTGTGGGCTGCAAGAAGATGAGGTAGGGACACTCAGGGCCAGCTCTAAGGGGGCACAAGAAGGCAGCACAGAGCATCCCCACATCCCCAGGCTCATTCCGACCTGTGGCTTCATGACAGGCACCTGCACCTCTGACAGCTGCATGAACCCGACAAGAGGCTCTGCCTCACCCTGGCCTTTGGAGCTTCACTTTCTACCTGTCCTAGCTGCTCCCCTCTTCCCCCCCAGAAGGAGGGTGACAGGCCTGCTCTTCTCAGAGGATACCCAGCTGAACACTCCTTTCTTGCTGGAAAACAGAATCCCAGCTAGCATGGGGGAGGGGAGGCAGGAAGGAGACCACTCCCTGAGGTCACAGTTGGGATGGCAGAAGCAGCTAAGACCTCATCTTAGAGGGGTTACTTATCCGAGAAAGCAGTGAGAAAAGCTCTAGAGCAGGTGGCTTCAAAATAGCAAGGTTATTTTTAGAGGCAAGAATGGGGCCAGAAGGAAGCCACATCCTTGAAGGTAGGCTATGGGGCTGCGAGGCCAAGGCCGCCAGAGGCACGTGCACCACCACCGCGTCCAGGAATGCTGTAAGGGGCTGCCCAGTGCCTAACAACAAATAACAACTACTCCTTTTCTGATAGCAAAGCGGTTAGACATTGAAATTAGGGACAGAAAACAAAAAACAAAACAAAACAAACAAACAAAAACAAAAAAACAAGAAAAGAGGGCTTTAAAAATCCCTCCTGAGGTGAAAACTTAACTGAGAGGTCCTTCCTAAGATGATGTCAGCCCCGCACCCTGTGGCCTCTCATTCCCCCCACATGATGAAGCTTTGGGAAAGGAGACAGGTTGCCATGGTTCAGAAACTGAAATGGTTGTTGGGGGCTCCAGGACAGCTGCCAGTTTCTCCATGAGTGGCCCTAAGAGTCTGGCATATCCCCAGCCCAGTTCCTGGTGAGACGCAGTGAGCAGAAGGCAATGGCAGCCAGCTGGGATTGCTTCACCGTGAGCCTCCCTGCTGGAGCTCCGAGGAGGTCCTGCCCACCAGCTGGGAGCTCCCAGAGCCAGGGTCGAGGGAAGGGCCTGGTCTGAGAGTCAGGACGCTGGGACTGGAAACAGTCTCTGTGTGTCTACCAGAAGGAAGGCGGAGTTCCCAGGGCTCCGGCCTGAGCTCAGGCACTCTCCCTGTAGCTCTCCAGGCTGCCTAGGAGCTCCTCTGACCACTGCCACCTCCCTCACCACTAGGGCTGGCCTGGGCTCCCAGAACCCTTGCTCTGACTCGGCTGCCCACTCTCTGGCCCTTAGGAGGTAGAAGGAGTCAGCTCCCCAGTCCCCATCGCCTTTCTGGCCCCTGGCTCAGCCAGTCACCCTTGGGTCCAGCTCAGGATGGAGGAGGTCAGGCCAGAGGACCGGCCATGAGCTTGCAGCGAGGCCTCCACCTTCAGGTGGGAAAGAGCTTTCACCCTCGGCTGTGTTCAAAGAACACCCTGCCTCAGAAATGACCCCCAGGTTCGGACAGGAGGAGCAAGATTCCCTCTTCTAAGGGTGGGCCAAAACTACATAGAGCAACTGCTCTCAGGAGGGACGCAACCTCACAGTACTTCTTCTCCCAGGCATTCCTGGAGGGTCCTTGGGCTGCAAAGAGGAGCTTGGTGGGATGTCCTGTAACCAAACAGGGGGTCTTGGGGGTCCTTAGGAGCAGAGGGCCAAGAAGGTAGCCTGGGACCCACCCATCTGCCTTTGGCTGGAGGGAACCACATACACCTAAGGCCTGGGCTCCCCTTCCCAGATGACAGCTGTTCCACAGCTACAAGAACACAGCACCCAGTCCGGGGCGGAGCCTGCATGGTCCTCCCAGCATTCCCAACTACTGGCTCTGGCTCCAGCCCCTTCTCTCTTTGCAAGTTCTAACCCCAGGCCTTCTCTGGCATCATGCTCTCTTTGGGCAAACTAAGGGTAGCAGCCTCTGTTCTCTGAGAGCTCTGCCCCCTCCACCTCCCCTGAAGTGCATGCTCTTGCTGGCACTGACAAGGCTCAGTGTCTCTGAGGTGGGGCCTCTTGCAGTGAGGAAAGGCCACTGGTGCCGTGGACATTGTGAGGATTAGGCCGGGAGCTGTGAGGTGTGGGCACGGCACGGCCTTGTTTCCGGAATGAGCCAGGAGTGAGAGCAGAGTGGAGAGGGGATGGCAGAGGGGCTTTCCCACGCAACTTCCTCACTGGGCCTCGCTGTCCACCCTAACCCCTCGCCTGGGTCTCACAACGCTGCTGGGATGCACCCCTCTGACACAGAGGCACAGATTCGATAAGTTATCTGTCTGTCCCATAGAACCAATAACTTAAAACTGTAACACATGTATCATACTCACAGGCAAGTTAAATGGGGACAATAAAACGTCAATAGAAACTCTAATTTTCTTTTTTTCAGGACCATCTAGTGCAGTGGTCGCCAACCTCAAGGACCACCATGGTCCACAGACCACCAGTTGGCAACTGCTGATCTAGTGGGCCCCTGGGAGGCATACACCCCTCTTTAAATGCTATGTTCTGGGCTCGAACTTACCAAACTAGACTCACCATCCCCTCTTGCCAGTAATTGTTTTCCCAGGGGACATGGCCACCAGCTATAGACAAGATTTCCCAGCCGGCCCTAAGCCTGGCCCTGAAGCTGGACGGGGTCACGGGACTCTCCCCAATAACACTGCCAGACTCGGTGGGCCTCAGTGTGTAAATGAGGGCTCTCCCTTCTTCCAGAAGTGCCAATAAAAGGCAAAGGCATACCAACCAAGACTGAAGGAATGAATATTTACGATGTAGGTGCCAGGATTCACAATTACAACCTCTTCGTGCCTCCTTAAATATAACTTACAGACAGGCACCATCTAGTCCTCTTACACTAGAGGAGCAGAAAGTGAACCTGTCCGAAACGAAGGAAGAGCACCGGCACCTGCCATGGAATGGTGCCCAAGTCTCCCGGCAGCACGCGGGATGCGTCTGCTGTGTGTGCGCGCTCCCATGCTGCGCCCTGGCCCCTCCCGTCCTCTCACTGATGACTCCCACCGCCTTCAAGACTGGCAATGCTGTCACCACTTGTCCCTACTCTGCACGCAGCTGGCCTCCCGCACTCATAGCTGGGACAGATCCCACTAGGGTCTCCAGACAGCCTCCGGCCTCCCCACCTCTGTCCATGAGGGGCCGCACTGCTCGGCATTCTCAGCACTCTGAGGAGAGAGAACTGCTCCTTAACAATCCATTTCCCAGCTACGCTGAGACCTCCTGCTGGGAGAGCAAGGGCAAATATCTAGGCTGTAACCAGAATCCAGTGAGAGGGAACCCCTCACCCCAATGCTGTCAGCAGAGAAGCCAGCTCTGTCTAGCAATCTCCCTGCCCTCATTCTGCACCTCCAGAGATTAGAAATCCAGGCCTCCTACAAGGCTGAGCATTACCTACTTTTGCTTGCTCATTTCCCAAAAAAGGGATGGCTATCCTCAAGGCATCCAACTCTGCTGTTGCCAGTTATGGGTTCCGTCCATGCCCAGCAATGACACTGACAGCCCTGCAGCCATCTGGGGAATCTGGTCCTCCTCCTCTGCCTCCACATTCCACCACTAAGACGGCAGAGCTGTTGGAGAGCGGTGGGTGGTTTAAACAAAAGGTGGCCAAGCAGGAGGGCACAAGACCTGGGCCCTTCCTGCAGGGATATGACCACCCTGCTGAGAACCAGCCCTCCTACTGATCCTCTGCCTGTTGGCCCTCAAGAGGCCAAGGGAACCTCTGCCCATTGCAGGCAGCACCTGTCAGAGGCCTGCTTAGGACAGTCCTACTACGTAGCTTCACCACCTTGGGATCCGCCATGCCACCCCTGGCCAAGGAGGTGTGCTCTAGGGAAAAGCCTGGGAGCTTGGGAAGGTGAGCTTCTCTGAGCCAGGGAAGGAAGAGGAAAGTGGGACAGAAATACAGAGGGGCCATTTAGAGTTATCAAGGGGGGTGTGGGGGGAGGAGGCTTCCTTCAGGCAGCTGTGCTTCTAGAACTGGGGGCGGCTCATAAGCGAGGCCTGGATGGAATGGGAGTCGTCCATTTTGCTCCCTATTCAGTGGGAAAGCAAGAGTCCCACAAAAACAAAGGCTTCCTCCCTTGGCAAGAAGCACTCCACTCACAAAATCTCAAGGTCAGAAAGAACCTTTCAAGGTGAAGCTCAATCCTATCCATTGTCTGAGTTCCTGCAATAGTTCATGTATTTCTCAAACTCATCTGACCACAACTGACGGAGAGCTGTGCACTTCATACTGGGATGAACACACAGATATGTGCATGCACAACATGTGAATTGAAAATGATGGAACAGCCGAAACCGGTTTAGGTCAGTGGATAGAGCATCGGCCTGCGGACTGGAAGGTCCTGGGTTGATTCCGGTCAAGGGCACATGTACGTTGGTTGCGGGCACATCCCCATAGGGGATGTACAAGAGGCAGCTGATCAATGATTCTCTCTCACCGATGTTTCTAACTCTCTATCCCTCTCTCTTCCTGTCTGTAAAAAATCAATAAAATTTTTTTTTAAAGAAAAAGAAAATGATGGAACATTTTTACTGCATGTATGCATTTTGTATTATTCTGTCGTTTCACCAAAACTGACTTAAAGAGTAAGAAAAACAATGGTGCCAGCAGCCAGCACATCTGATACTGTCAGGAGCAGGCTCTAAACGCTCCAGTTAAGGCATGAAGAATCTACCTTTCAGCCCTGACCCGTTTGGCTCAGTGGATAGAGCAATGGCCTGTGGACTCAAGGGTCCCAGGTTCAATTCCGATCAGGGGGTGTACCTTGGATGCGGGCACATATCCACAAGGGCATGTACATTGGTTGCAGGCACATGCCCAATGGGGAGTGTGCAGGAGGCAGCTAATCAATGTTTCTAAGTCTCTGTCGCTTTCCCTTCCTTTCTATAAAAAAAAAAAATCAATAAAATATATTTAAAAAATAAAAATAAAAAAAGAACCTACTTTTCAGTGAAAGCCCTTGCAGC